TCACTTCTCCTCTGGGTTCCATTGGACTTTGGGGCAATCCTCTGTCGAAGGAAAAGTCTTCATCAGGGTGCAATCCAAGCTGGGAATAAACAACATGGCGACTGCTTCAGAAAAAAGGTTGCAGTTTATTGAAGAGGAGAGCCAGACAAAAAGATGGCTCTGGAAAAAAAGAGAGCAAGCACATATAGGGAGTGGGCTTTGATACCCTCTGGAGCCTTTTGTTTGAAGTTGTTCCTGTGTCATGAACTTTGACCTGAGTCTGAGTGTGCCCTTTGGCATCTGTGGGTGAATCCTATTGTCCTGTCCTAGAGTTTGGGTGGGGTATGTAGATTTTAGATGTCTTTGTTTTCTTAATCTTCCAGCTGGAGGGCTCCAACCTTCCTGAATGGATTATCACATCTGCATTTCTACCGAGCTGGTTTCTGCTTCAGGGAGGGAGACATGAGTTTATTAAGAAAAACTGGGAATGCTTTTCTGCCTTTTTAAGATCCTTTGAGGAAATATAATATTCTGCCCTTTTAATATTTCCTTCTCTTGGGGGGATAACTTCCCACACCTTGTTGGCTATGACTTTATTATAACTAAGAGTTACGATCAAGATTTAAAAGGTGAAAGAACCAGTAACAGAGCTTAAAAATACCCTTGGTTTGGTTCCAATTCTGTCCTTAGGATGAGGTGGGAGAATCTGCAAGGTGGAGTTATCAGTGCTCCTCACATAAACACTTGAATTTCTGGCATTGGTATTCACCAAGGGAACCAAAGCAATCCTAAAACCATATTTTGAATTAAACCCAGGTGAAACTACCCAAGAAAACTTAGTATTAATCAGGTAAATCTGGACCTATGAAACCACCACCTTATGCTGGAGTGGAACACTAGAGATTGGTCTAGACCTGGTCTTTTCAGACTTGGCAACTTTAAGACATGTGGACTTACACTTCCAGAATTCCCCAGCCAGCAAAAGAAGGGACGGCCATTTTTAGTAAATGCTATAGGGCTGCCTCCTATATGCAAATAGGAGTGTACTCTTTACTGAAATAAGTATGGAGGCTATTAGCTCAAGAAAAACGATCATTTTTCATTAAAGAATTATTTTTATGCATTGATCATTGTATACATATTCTTTCTTTTTTCCAGGAGCTGAAAAGAATGTTAATGAAATCTCCTCTTCAATAAGTTGGCTACCAACTTGGTTGGCTTTAAAAAAAAATTCATGGAAATCCTGGTGGTCAGTGTGTCATGGTTCCGACAGATGAAACTCTTCAAAAGAACTTCGAGGCATCTTTTGATAGAATCTTTTATTCGAGAAACAAAGTATGGGCACTACATAGTGAAAGCCAAAAACTGAATTCCCCACTCCTGAGCACAAAGTAGCAAAGCACAATTCCCACCCCCAATAAACAGTCATAAATCACATTCCCCAATTAGCTTGAAGCCGCAGGCTTTCTCCCCAGCTCTCCAACCCGCCAAAGCTTTATCAACTCTGGGCCCAATGACCTTGGGTTCCCAAGTCTGAGTTATTATTGTTATGAGTAACTGGACTCTCATCCACATCCCCCCTCCCAGCATCAACTAACTCTAAAAGCGAAAGAGTAAAATGGCGGCATTTCCATCTGTTGTCAAAACAAGAACATCCGATGTTAGAAGCGTTGACACAGTGGCTATTAGCCTTAGTGGGGCTACTTCTGGAGGCCATCTGCTGGGAGAGAAATGGGCTTCTTTGTGCAGTCAGTGGGCAACTAGGAAAATAAATGGCTGGACTAGTTGGGGCAGGGGACACTGCTTATGTTTTTATGTACTTACAGTAGTGGCCAAAATTGTGGAAACCTATTGAGAAAAGTGTATTTTTGAGGTTTGATGGATAATACCCTCCTTTTTTGGAGTAGTACCATAACATTATATATCAATGGAAAGATAATTTAATCACGAATGTAATGCAACATAGTTTGTTCAATTATCTGTACTGTATTCTATGAAACGTTATAGCCAAATAACCAGAAAAAGGAAGCACAACTTTCTTAGGTTGATAACAGGTAGCTTTCTTTCATCTGATTGTAGCCAATGAGCATGAGTGTTTAGAGAGCCAATCGGGTATCATCTTGTTTTGGCCATGAGCCAATCAGATCACAATAGGATTCAGTGATTGATGTCATGTATTGAAGCTGAGAGGAGGACATTTGTCGGTGTGTTATGTGATCGCTATCAAGTTGGTTGGCTTTTTTGTGTTCTTTCATTTAGTGAGATTGTAAAACCTAATAAAATTAAAGTAATGGTGCAAAAAGTTGACTGGGCACCCAGAAAGTGATGTAAAATAGTATTATTAAGTGAACAAGGCTACAGTTATAAAGAAATTAGAAAAAAAATGGGTGGAAACTTAACCAAAGGTGACATTTCTACTGTACACTTTTCCCAAAAGATTTCCACAATTTTGGCCACTACTCTATTGTCAACCGTCCAGCTAGTGAATTCAACACTAAAGAAACTTTACAGCTTTAAGGTGCCATAAAAGATAAACTTTATTGAACACACATCTCGGTACTAAAGAAGCAAAATCATCTCTAGTTTTCCCACACAAAAATCTGGTTAGTTAACAAATAGCTTTCCATAAACCCCACCCACCAAGTGTTCACATTGCCCAATCACACACTTCTCAGGCAGACACCTGACTTTGTGACCTTGACTCTCATGGCCCCATAGATGGCTTCTTAAAAATCCCATTTCGTTCCCAAGCTTCCCCTCCCTGCTGTTTCTAGGGCAAGTTGATTAGCAACAGAGGTTATCCAGCATCTTAGCAAGTCAACCTTGACACTTATGATTGAGAGAGCTGGATGATCAACTGGGGTTCTGAGACCAAATCTCCAGAGTAGCATCTTCAATGTGAGCGAGTGTGGGGTTTGATGTCTACAGAATAACAGAGTTGGAAGGGACCTTGGAGGTCTTCTAGTCCAACCCCCCGCTCAGGCAGGAAACCCTGTACCATTTCATCAAGTGCCTGTCCAATCTCTTCTTAAAAGCCTTCAGTGATGGAGCACCCACAACTTCTGGAGGCAAGTCATCCCACTGGTTGATTGTTCTTACTATCAGGAAATTTCACCTTAATTCTAGGTTGCTTCTCTCCTTGATTAGTTTCCACTGGTGTTTTCTTGTCCTGCCTTCAAGTGCTTTGGAAAATTGGTTGCCCCCCTCAGATATTGGAAGACTGCTATCATGTGTTCCCTAGTCCTTCTTTTCACTTAACTAGACCTACCCAATTCCTGCAACCAATTCCTCCAGCTCCCTGATCAACTTTGTTGCTCTTCTCTGCACTCTTTCCAGAGTCACAACATCTTTTTTATACTATGATGAGCAAAGCTGGATGTCTATTTGTGGGGATGTGGTTTTCTCTGTGATAATGAAAGATTTGCAAACAAACAACATCACTCAGAGACTACCAAGGTCTCCAAAAGCAGAGCCATCTTTGTGATCTCAGGGATAAGCAGAAGATAAGGCCAGGCAATGTAGGCAGGAAGCAGAAGAACACAAGAGCCGAAAGAGTTTTATTTTGGTCAGATAATCATAGCAAAGAAATGCAATAATCACAACAGATATCAAGATGAAATGACTAATTTCCACAAAGAAAATTGTCGAGTCCTTGATGGCCTCTGAGCTTGGTTTGTTCCTTGCAGATCTTTTCATTACCAAACTAGGTATCATCAAGGCATCTGAGTGTGGGGGTTGAAGCCTGTTTATATACAGAAGGAACCTTTGGCAGCTACGTGTCTCTTCATTTCAACTTGGCATTAGAGTTGGAGGGGGGGAGGTGTTGCTTTGGAAGGGTTTAGCTGGAGAAATGAAACCTCTCCTCTGAAGACCGTGAGAGCCTGAAATCTTTCCAAGGACACTGCAGCAGGTGTGGAGGAGAAGCAGAGGGTTCCCATAACAAAGTGCAATTATTTATAGAGACTACGTGAGAGGGTAGGGGGTTTGGCTGGAGAAATTATTGTTAATTCTATGATCTGGTGTCTAGCAACCTTAGAGTTTTACTTTGACAGTACCATGCCGTGAGTTCAATAAACAGTAAGATTTTGGGAAATGGAATGAACCTGGTGACTTATTTGGATCCTCAAAATGGATGTTGACGACAGTAGCTTGCCCTGCCAGTGATGGTGGTTTTCCTTTTGGCAATAAGACATCTGCAAGCTAACAAGCTCAGAGACCACCAAGGACACCATGATGACTAATTTCTCCTGTACAAACCTCACTTAGCAACAGAGAAGATGACATTTGTCCCTTAATCTGTCCAGTAATACCGTTAAGAGAAACAAAGAAAGGAAGGGATGTTTTGTCTGCAGAAAAGGGCCTGGGACACTCATTTCTTTATTGAACAATGCAGGGGGCAGATTCTATAAGCATTTGAAGTTCTGTAACACAGAGGAGACAAAATTTTAATCTAATTCCAGAGAGTTGATCATAAAGCCTCCTTTCTCGGGGTCTGCTGGAAGAGATTTTGAAGAGACCTTTCAAGTCTTGTGAATACGCAGAAAGGTTGAAGCCAGACAGATTTCAAAAGGAATGTATCTTCATAGGGTAGGCACTAGTCACACAGAAGACAAATATTTAGGCCTTCCAAAAGACACTGTTGATAGGTGGGAGCTGGAGTGAACCCACTCTGCCAAATTTTACAGGTGATGCAAAAACAAACAAAGAAAGCTGGTCTCTTAAGTGTCCAGTGTTAAGCCATGAAGACCTTTACTGGTGACAACCAGCATTGGGAATTATATTTGCAAGCCCACTGGTAACTAGTGCAATTTACAAAGTAGAAGTGTCACATGGACAAAATGAAAATTGCTCACAACTACGTAGGCAGCTCCATTCTGGATCAACTGTAGTTCTGAATATTCTTCAAGGGTAAGCTCCATGTGTGATGCCTTTTGTATCTTGGAAAAAACATAGCGCTAAAGTTTTTTTTTTATTTCCATTGCTCCAAATAATCCTTTTAAACCCCGTCTATAACCTCAAGAACACATGCTAATCAATATCAATACCAGCATTGTTCAATCTTCTAATGAACCTCACAACTTATAGAAAGACATAAAGCTATTTATCCATCCATCCATCCATCCATCCATCCATCCATCCATCCATCCATCCATTAAATTGGCTTTAATTTTCATTTAATAATTTCAAAAATAACTCATGTTTGCAAACAAAGGATGAAACAGGTTTCGGATTCACTTTTATGGGTTTTCTCAGTCTTACAGAAGATATAAACAGGGCTGAGTTTTGGTTCTCCTTCCAAATTATGATTACGATTTCACAAAACATTTCTAGAGAACACCCTCCCTTCCCATGACTATTGCAAAATGTTAAGGATGTTCCTCTTTTCTTTTCTGATGCTGAATAAATTCTGCGTGCTCACATCAAATGCAGACCAAACTGGATTCATCAAAGAAATCTAGCTTTCTGAACTGCTTCAGATTCTCAAAGAGATCTATTCTTGTGCATCACCACCAGGTATGTCCTTAGCAAAGAGAGAACTGTCATTATGGTAGCTGTTATATATATATATATATATAAATCTCAATTCAGAATAAGTCTCAGAAATTGCAAGGATTTGATAGTATGATTTCTTATGAAAGGTTATCCATCACAAATGACCAGTTATTTAAAAAAAAATCAGTTAAATAGTTGGGTAGAGTATTATAATAATTATAATAATAATAAAGTTGGAAGGGACATTGGAGGTCATCTAGTCCAACCCCCTGCTCAGGCAGGAAACTCTATGCCATTTCAGACAAATGGCTGACCAGTCTCTTCTTAAAAACTTCCAGTGTTGGAGCATTCACTACTTCTGGAAGCAGGTTGTTGGTAGAAAGGAAGAGGCTGAGAAGGGATCCTCCCTTAAACCTTCATAGGATTTATCTCATAGGTATGCAGAGTGTGCTTTAGTCTGACAAGATTCCTGTCTATTGGCAAACAACAATAAAGAAACTCTTCTGAGCAACTAGTTGTGTTGTTCTTGACTTCCTCCACTTGACAATTTGATAGTTAATTTAGGGGACTGGAGGCTAAAACATACAAGAAACGGTTGCTGGAATTGGGTATGTCTAGTTTAATGAAGAGAAGGACAAGGGGGGACATGATAGCAGTGTTCCAATATCTCAGGGGCTGCCCCAAAGAAGAGGGAGTCAAGCTATTCTCCAAGGCGCCTGGAGAATCAAGGAGAGAAGCAACCGAGAACTAAGGAGAAATTTTCTGACAGTTAGAACAATTAACCAGTGGAGCAACCTGTCTCCAGAAGTGGTGAATGCTCCAACAATGGAGGTTTTTAAGAAGAGACTGGACAGCCATTTGTCTGAAATAGTATAGGGTTTCCTGTCTGAGCAAGGGGTTGGACTAGATGACCTCCAAGATCCCTTCCAACTTTATTATTATTATTATGCTTAGTTATTCCCAGCAGATGGATCATGACTCTTCGAGACACTTTATCTACAAAAAAGAAATAAAATTTGAAAAAAGGACTATAAAAATTTTAAACTCAAAAAAACTTAAATGGCATTGGTGACATCTTTTGGCGATGTTTGGTTGTTATTGTTGTTAATTCCGAAGTCGTGTCCAACCCATCGCAACCCCATGGACAACGTTCCTCCAGGCCTTCCTGTCCTCTACCATCTTCTGGAGTCCATTTAAGTTCACACCTACTGCTTCGGTGACTCCATCCAGCCATCTCATTCTCTGTCGTCCCTTTCTTCTATTGCCCTCAATCTTTCCCAGCATTAGGCTCTTCTCCAGGGAGTCCTTCCTTCTCATTAGGTGGCTAAAGTATTTGAGTTTCAACTTCAGGATCTGGCCTTCTAAAGAGCAGTCGGGGTTGATCTCTTCTAGGACTGACCGGTTTGAACGCCTTGCAGTCCAAGGGATTCGCAGGAGTCTTCTCCAGCAACATAGTTCAAAGGCCTCAATTCTTTGGCACTCAGCCTTTCTTAGGGTCCAACTTTCACAGCCATACATTGCAACTGGGAAAACCATGGCCTGGACTATACGCACTTTTGTTGGCAGGGTGATGTCTCTGCTTTTTAGAATGCTGTTTAGATTTGCCATAGCTTTCCTCCACAGGAGCAAGCGTCTTTTAATTTCTTGGCTGCAGTCCCCATCTGAGGTGATCTTTGAGCCCAGAAAAATAAAATCTGTCACTACCTCCATTTCTTCCCCATCTATTTGCCAGGAATTGAGAGGGCCGGATGCCATGATTTTGGGTTTCTTAATGTTGAGTTTCAAGCCAACTTTTGCACTCTCCTTCTTCACCCACATCAAGAGGCTCTTTAGTTCCTCTTCACTTTCTGCCATTAAAGTGGTATCATCTGCATATCTTAGGTTGTTGATATTTCTCCTGGCAATCTTAATTCCAATTTTTGATTCATCTAGCCCTGCCTTTCTCATGATGTGCTCTGCATATAAGTTAAATAGGCAGGGCGACAGTATACAGCCTTGCCGGACTCCTTTTCCAATTTTGAACCAATCAGTGGTTCCGTGTCCAGTTCTCACTGTTGCTTCTTGACCCACATATAGGTTTCTCAAGAGACAAATAAGATGGTTTGGTATTCCCATCTCTTTAAGAACTTGCCACAATTTGTTGTGATCCACACAATCAAAGGCTTTAACATAGTCAATGAAGCAGAGGTAGATGTTTTTCTGGAACTCCCTAGCTTTCTCCATGATCCAGCGTATGTTTGATCTCTAGTTCCTCTGCCTCTTCGAAATCCTGCCTGTACTTCCGGTAGTTCTCGATCCACATACTGCTGGAGTCTAGCTTGTAGGGCTTTAAGCATAACTTTACTAGCATGTGAAATGAGTGCAATGGTGCGATAGTTTGAACATTCTTTGGCATTGCCTTTCTTTGGAATTGGAATATAAACTGATCTTTTCCAATCCTGTGGCCACTGTTGAGTTTTCCAAATTTGCTGGCAAATTGAGTGTAGCACTTTTACTACATCGTCTTTTAAGATTTTGAATAGCTCAGCTGGAATACTGTCACCTCCACTAGCTTTGTTGTTGCTCAGATTTTCTAAGGCCCATTTCACTTCACATTCTAGGATGTCTGGTTTGAGGTCAGTGACCATCTCATTGTGGTTATCTGGGATGTTAAGCTCATTCTTGTATATTTCTTCTGTGTAGTTTTGCCATCTCTTCTTAATCTCTTCTGCCTCTGTTAGGTCTCTGTCATTTTGGTCCTTTATCATGCCCATCTTTGCATGAAATGTTCCCTTCATATCTCCAATTTTCTTGAAGAGATCTCTGGTCCTCCCTGTTCTGTTGTTTTCTTCTATTTCTTTGCACTGTTCATTTAAGAAGGCATTTTTATCTCTTCTAGCTACTCTCTGGAATTCTGCATTCAATTGGGTGTATCTTTCTTTTTCTCCTTTGCCTTTCGCTTCCCTTCTTTCCTCAGCTATTTGCAAAGCTTCCTCAGACAGCCATTTTGCTTTCTTGCATTTTTTTTTCTTTGGGATGGTTTTAGTTGCTACCTCTTGTACAATGTTGCGAACTTCCATCCATAGTTCGTCAGGCACTCTGTCTATCAGATCCAGTTCCTTAAATCTATTTGTCACCTCTACTGTATATTCATCAGGAATATGATTTAGTTCATACATGAGTGGCCTAGTGCTTTTCCCTACTTTTTTCAATTTAAGCCTAAATTTTGCAACGAGAAGCTCATGATCTGAGCCACAGTCAGCTCCTGTTCTTGTTTTTACTGACTGTATAGAGCTTCTCCATCTTTGGCTGCAGAGCACATAGTCAATCTGATTTCTATGTTGACCGTCTGGTGATGTCCATGTATAGAGCCGTCTCTTGGGTTGTTGGAAAAGAGTGTTTGTTATGACCATCGTATTCTCTTGACAAAATTCTATCAGCCTGTGTCCTGCTTCATTTTGTACTCCAAGGCCAAACTTGCCTGTTATTCCGGTTATCTTTTGGCTTCCTACCTTAGCATTCCAATCCCCCATGATGATAAGGACATCATTTTTTGGTGTTAATTCTATAAGGTGCTGTAGGGCTTCATATAACCGGTCAATTTCATCCTCTTCAGCACCAGTGGTTGGGGCATAGATTTGGATTATTGTGATATTGAATGGTTTGCCTTGGATTCGAATTGAGATCATTCTGTCATTTTGGGGATTTTATCCCAGTATTGCTTTTCCTATTCTTTTATTGACTATGAAGGCTACTCCATTTCTTCTGAGGGATTCTTGCCCACAGTAGTATACCTGATGGTCATCTGAGTTAAATTCACCCATTCCTGTCCATTTTAGTTCGCTGATTCCTAAGATGTCAATGTTCAGTCTTGTCATCTCTTTTTTGACTACGTCTAGCTTGCCTTGATTCATGGATCTTACATTCCAGGTTCCTATGGAGAAAAAATCTTTACAGCATCGGACTTTCCTTTCACCACCAGATATATCCACAGCTGAGCGTCCTTTCGGCTTTGGCCCAGTCGCTTCATTCTTTCTGGCGCTACTAGTACTAGCCCTCTGCTCTTCCCCAGTAGCATATTGGACACCTTCCGACCTGAGGGGCTCATCTTCCAGCGTCATATCTTTTTGCTTTTAGTACTGTCCATGGGGTTTTCATGGCAAAGATACTGGAGTGGTTTGCCATTTCCTTCTCCAGTGGATCACATTTTGTCAGAACTCTCTGCTATGACCTGTCCATCTTGGGTGGCCCTGCATGGCATAGCTTATAGCTTTGTTGAGTTACACAAGCCCCTTCGCCACGACAAGGCAGTAATCCATAAAGGGGGGCGATGTTTGGTACTACAACTTATTTCCTAAAAGAGACTTGCCTGGAAGCCCAGATCTTATATAACACTTTTCTGACCTCAGCACCACCTGTGAGAGACTTAGCTGTAAGAGAACAGCTAGGCAGCATAACTGGCCTACTTGAACTGTGAATATAAACTGCTTTCCTATCTCTTTATTTGAGGAATATTGGTCACTATATGAGATGTTGAAATACCTTGGATTATAAAATCTTGCTTGATAAACAACTTTTACTAGAAAGACTATTTATACACACGTGAAAGAGATGGACGAAGACCAGGAAAAGATTCTTTCCATGTTGAAAGCAATACATGAAACCATTCTTTTAGCTTGTGATAAAATTAGACAATATAAAAGATCAAGATGCCAGCTAAGATACACAAACCCAAACTTTGACTGCAACCAAAGAACCAACAATGCAGAAAACAACAGAAGAAGTGGGACAATCAAATATTAAGACAGAGGACTCAATTGATCAACAAATACAGCTGATGGAAAATCCAGAAAAGGAAGTGACAACACTTAAATGGAAATGGCTTTCTATATAAATCAGAAGAAATTTGAGAAAGAAGAACAGATTGAATGGAAGACAAACATACCAGGGCAAGCATGGGGAATTGGAATAGCAGGGAGACAATCTAACAAATACAAATGGGCTAGTCCTTCCCCAAAAAATGGCAATTAAATGGTCTCCTT